GAGCACTGGGTATTATACGCAAACAATGAATCATGGAACACTACATCAAAAACTAATGATGTAATTGTGGTGATTAACATAACATAATGAAATAAAATTAAAAAAATCTTGAAACAGCTGAAAATGGAATCACAAAGCTTAAGAGATGCAGCATAAGCAGTTCAACATACGCAAATCAATAGATGCTGTAAATCACATTAATAGAATGAAAGATAAAACTCATACGACTATCTCAATAAATGCAGAAAAATCATTTGGCAAAATTCAACATCCTTTCATAACATAAAAATTCTCATACATATTCCATGTAAAAGGAATGTACCTCAGCATAACAAGGCCAATAATGACAGGCCCACAGCTAACATCATACTTAATGGTAAAAAGTGGAAAGCTTTTCTTCTAAGATCAGGTACAAGACAAGGGTGTCTATTCTTGCCACTTTTATTCAACATAGTACTGGACATAGTAGCTAGTACAATTAAGCAAGAAAAAGAAATGAGAGGCATCTAAATTGGAAAGGAAGAAGTAAAATTGTCTCTGTTTGCAGATGATATGATATATAGAAAATCCTAAAGACTCTGTCAAAAAACTGTGACAACTAACAAACAAATTCAGTAAAGTTGCAGGGTACAAAATGAACATAGAGAAATTAGTTGTGTTTCTAGACACTAACAATGAAATATCTGAAAAAGAAATGAAGAAAACAATCCCCTTCACAATAGCATCAAAACCAATGAATATTTAGGAATAAATTTGACAAAGGAGGTGAAAGATCTGTGTACTGAAAATTATAAGACATGGATGAAAGAAATTGAGGAATACAGATAAATTGAAAGATAGTCTGTGTTCATGGATTGGAAAAATTATTATTATTAAAAAATGCCCATAATATCCAAAGTCGTTGATAGATTCAATACAATTCCTATCAAAATTCCAATGTCATTTTTCACAGAAATCAAAAAAACAATCTTAACATTCACGTGGAATCAGTAAAGATCCTTAATAGCCAAGGCAATTCTGAGGAAAAAAATTGGAGGCATCACATTTCTTGATTTTGAAATATATTACAATACTATGGTAATCAAAACTGTATGGTATTGGCATAAAGACAGACATATACTCCAATGGAACAGAATCAAGAGCCAAGAAACAAACCCATACTTATGTAGTCAGTTAGTATTTGACAAGTGAGCCTAGACTACTCAGTAGGGGAAAGGGTAGTCTCTTCAATAAAAGGTGCTGAGAACATTGGATATTCACACGTAAAAGAATGGAATTGGACCTCTAACCTAAACCACGCACAAAATTTCACTCAAAATGGATTAAACGTTTAAATCTAATCCCTGGAACCATAAAACTCCTGGAACAAAATATTGGAGAAAAGTTTCTTTTTTTTCTTTTTTTTTTTTAAAGTATTTATTTATGTGACAGAGAGACACAGCGAGAGAAGGAACACAAGCAGGAGGAGTGGAAGAGGGAGAAGCAGGCTTCCCGCTGAGCAGGGAGCCCGATGTGGGGCTCAATCCCAGGACCCTGGGATCATGACCTGAGCCGAAGGCAGATGCTTAATTACTGAGCCACCCAGGCGCCCCTGGAGAAAAGTTTCTTGACACTGGTTTGGCAATGACTTTTTGAGCATGACATCAAAAGCACAAGCAGCAAATTAAAAATAAATAAGTGGGACTACGCCAAACTAAAAAGATTCAGCATAATAAAAGAAACAATCAACAAAATGAAAAGGCCGCCTACAGAATGGGAGAAAATATTTGCAAGCCACCTATCTGATAAGGGGTTAATATCAAAAAATTAAGGAACTCATGCAACCCACTCATTAGCAAAAAAAAAAAAATCCAAATAATCCAATTAAAAATAGGCTGAATAGACACTTTTCCAAAGACATACAAATGGCCAACAGTAAATGAAAAGGTGCTTAACACCCCTGATAATAATGGGAAATGAAAATCAAAACCACAACAAGACACCCTCTCATATCTGTTGGAAAGGCTATTATCAAAAAAACAGTATATATCCAAAGGAAATGAAGTAACTATTTTGAAGGGATATCTGTACCTCATTCTCACTGAAGTATTATTCTCAACAGCCAAGACATGGAAACAACTTAAGTGTCCACTGATGGATGAATGGATAGAGAAAATACGGTGTATGTATAGAATGGACTCTTACTCAGTTATAAAAAATAAAGAAATCCTGCCTTTTGCAACACTGGTTGTTGTTAATCAATGTCCACATATTAGCAAATTAGGCCCATTTTGTATTCAGTTTCTACTTTCTTGTTACTTAATTCTTCCCCACCAGAGACTCTAGTCATGCTGTGAAAAAACTGGAAGGGAATAATTCATTCTGAGAGTTTAAGAAATTCCATTTCAATATGCTAAGTAAATATTCAGCCATTGGTCACATTGTCTATTTGGTTGAAAACATAAGAGAAAACCACAGACACAATTCCTGGCTTTGTGTTTCTAGATGGTCAATCTTCACTTAATGTACCATCACCCTAAACATGGTCTTTGAAGAAGAATTCATTTATTCAAAAACTATTTGGTGAAAGTCCCACTACATAACAGACATTCTTCTAATGCCAGGGACCCAGTGAAGACCAAATCAAGTTCCCCACTCTCAAGGAGCCTGCCATCTAGTGGGAGATGCAGAAATATAATTGAGTAGGGCAATAAAATAAGATTAGTGATAGAACCGTGGTGGAGAGAAACACACAAGCACAGAGGATGGCAGAACTTAATTTTATCTAAGGATTCAGGAAAATTTGTAGGAAGGGGAGCAGTTTACAAGTAGGGAACTGGGACGGACGTGCTAGGTAAAGGACGCAATATGTGGGGGGGTATAAGAGAGGATAGGATATGAGGTTGAATGCATACACGTTTGTCGAGGCTGGGGGTTTGGGAGCGTGTGTGAGGGCTGGAAAGAGAGTCTAAAAGGAAAAGCAGTGTTAGATCTTGAACAACCTTGTATTGGACAATAAGAAATTTCAAATAAATTCTGTAGGCAATGGAAATTGGCGAAGAGGTTCTCAGTAGGGAAATAACATGATTAGATTAAGGCATTAGAACGATTAACTCTGGCAATACTGTGGAGAATAGACTGGAAAGGGAGGACAGCCGATGCTGGGAAACCAGTTGGTCTACTGCCGTGGTCCTAACAAGGGATGATGAAGGCCTGCCTACAGCAGTGTGGAAAGAGAGGAACAGGCCTATTGAAGAGCAACTTAGAAGGTTTACTTAGTACAGCTTTGTTAGGGATGACATATGAATGGACAGCAATGAGTCTAAGATGACCCCAGGTTCCATGTTTGGAAATTGGATAGAAAATAGCATATTTCTCCATGTCAGGGAGTAATAGGAGGAAAAGAATTTTGAGTGGAAAGATGTGTTCAGATGTTAAGGACTGATGGTATAGCCAGGTAGAGAGAAATAACTAAAAGGCCACTCTGAGGTCCAGAGTGAAGTCTGGCTGGAAAATTAAACGCCATTAATGAAAAATCTTTTAGAGGTTAGCCTATAATTTTCATGGAAGTATAGGAATTCATTTTTGTATCCCTAACAGCAGTGGCAGTTCCTTTTAGCTACACATATGTTGAATAAGAATATTATTCTCGTATACCTAATAGCAGTGGCAAACCTTTTCGCTGCTTGTGCAAACACATAATTAAGAAATACATTTTACAGATACCTATGTAAAGCAAAACCAGACAAAACAACAACAAACTGAGTGCCAGGAAGTTGCAACTGATATAATCAGACCCTGCTAGAAGATTGCAAGTCGAAACTACATTTGGGGAAGACTATATGGTAACATGGAGCAAGAACTGAAAGAGGATCATGTGAGTTTGCCAAGTGATCCAACTTCTGGCTATTGAGGGGAAATGATTGAGTATATGTTACTGAAAACTTACCTTACAGATGTGATCTATAGAACGGTGGTATAAGGGAATAGTTTAATGTGTATGTGCATATATTTACTCAGATGAGAAACACGAAGTGTATGAAGAACCATGGGAAGATATTTACACTGATGCTAAAACAGTATTTATAATTGTCACAAGTCTGCAAACATATGTGTACCAATAGAGATCTACTGGAAAAAGCATTTAAAAATGAAAACTGTCAGAATGATATGATTATAGATAATTTTCTCTTTCTCTTTTGCTTTTTTTCCAAAATAAAGTTCATGTCAAGACAACTTTTCAAAAGGTTTTTATTTTTTTTATTTTTTAAAGATTTTTTATTTATTCATTTGAGAGAGAGAGAGAGAGAGAGAGTGAGCATGAGCACAAGCAGAGGGGAGGGTCAGAAGGAGAAGGAGAAGCAGACTCCCCGCTGAGCAGGGAGCCCGACATGGGGCTCTATCCCAGGACCCGGGGATCATGACCTGAGCCCAAGGCAGATACTTAACCCACTGAGCCACCCAGATGCCCCTCAAAGGTTTTTAAAAGGTATATATTAAGTTGCAATAAACCAAACATGTGCATATAGACATGCTCCAAACACACTTACTTAACTGTGTCTTGGGTATGGGGGGGGTGTAAAGAAATGGGAGTCACTTGAATGAGGGTAGAGGGGAGAAATGAAAAGAAAAAGAGAGCTGGGAAGATCAGATTGGCAGCAGTGTCCCTGTGCCCCCCTAAACAGTTGCTCTGGATGGCATCGGGGGTCATGAGCCACAGTGGTGGAATCCTCATGTCACAGCTGATGTGACATGAGACAGGTGGGGGAGCAGGACCACAGTGACCACAGCACCCCATTTCCTTACACTGTCCCCGTGCTGGGCCATGGTACCGATGTGGCCTTGGGGCATGTCTGCAGTGGAAGATTTGAATTTCGGCTGGTGGCAGGAGATGAGACAACCACGTTCCTTTATGCACACATTTGGTTTCATTGACACGTTAACCACAGGAGCAGGGGCGAAGACCATAAGGTGTAGGGTTAGTATGAGCAGAGGCAAAGGAACTTTTTCTTAAAGAAAAAAGCATCTGTACTGCACAGACTTTCCACAACTCCACACCCACCCTGAAAAGCCCCCCTCTCACCACAGGAAGTACGCTGACCACTGGAGGAATAAAGAGGCTTCTAAGAGCAGCCGTTCCTCACCTTCTCCTCGCATAGCTCAGCAGGACCTCAGCTATGAGACCTCTCCTCCTGGCCCTGCTTGGGGTCTGCTTTCTCACTGAATTCATCGTGGAAGGTAAGTTGAAAGGTTCTGTATGAGAGAGGAACAGATACGCAGGCAGGCGGGTACACATTTGGGATCTGACTCAGGTTTTGACTGGAGTAAACTGCTTTCTCCAGGGTAAGCCTCTGACTTCCCATGTGCAAAATGGGAATGACAACTCTGAGTTCAAGGGACTTTATAGATTCTGAAGACAGACAGAACTTGCTTACAATCTGGCTCCCACTTTTCATAATTGCGTGATTTGGGGTAAATTTTGCAACATCTCTGGACCTACGCTTACTTATAAGCTGAACATAATGACAGATACTCTCACCTGGGATTAAAATGAAACAAACAAACAAACAAGCCTAACAATTTAGGAATACTTATCAGATTTCCTCACTAGTAATAATTTCTTGATTAATGTTAGCTGTGGAATGGTGGTGGTGATTATATGTGCCTTTGTAGCTTTTGCCTATTTAATAACAATCTTGGTAAATTCTCAAAGATTTTGGAAGTTTAGTCACAATGTGGGGATGAGTTGGAGGTTGTATATTCTGAAGAAAATCAATAATTTCTATTTTAAGAAAATGATTGGGAGCTCATGCCTTCATACCCAGGAAATCAATACTACCTTCAAGTATATGGGAGAGTCTATTATTACCGCTATGAATATTTTTCCCATTAATGATAGATTTATAAGAGATTTAATTTATAAGAGACCATATGTTAAGTGCTAACAAATAGATCAATGCCTTATACACATTCAGATAAACCTGCAAGGTATACCCAGATGGGACTTAGGTATACTGAGCCTCACCTGACTATTCTATACATATTTTCTTTTTTTTAAAAAGATTTTATTTGTTTATTTGAGAAAGAGAGAATGAGAGATAGAGAGCATGAGAGAGGGAAGAGGGTCAGAGGGAGAAGCAGACTCCCTGCTGAGCAGGGAGCCCAATGTGGGACTCGATCCCGGGACTCCAGGATCATGACCTGAGCCAAAGGCAGTCGCTTAATCAACTGAGCCACCCAGGCGCCCTCTATACATATTTTCTTAAAGGATCATTTTTTTTCTCCAACTGATTGAAGTTTACTTCTCCTTGTGGCTCTGGCAATAAAAGAGAATATCCTTCAAGTATAATTAATGTTTCAGTTAACTCTCCTTTCAAGGGCCTAATTTGTAGACTTACTACTTAGAATAGGATGTATGAATCTGATCATGGATCTCTAAGGGTGTCTATGAATAGAGGTGGCAAAGTCTGGAATTCCTTGAAATTGTGGGCAAAACAAATATTGATGTAACCAACAACTATAAGGCTAGTAAATTAGGCCAAATATTGCAATGTGGCTGGCATTTTGCTGAGACAATAGGTCTGCTGTTTGGTGGAAACCCAGGTATGGTTGGGGGCAGCGACCCTCTGCTGGAGACAGAGGAGGACTGCAGACACTTGGGTCACTTCCCAAGCTTCCTCCTTGAATGTCCTCTATGAGTCCCACTGGGGATTAGCCTCTATGTACAACTGTGGGCAAAGCAATCTCTGCTCTGATTCAGCTCTGCAACAGGAGCGAACATGATATTTTCAGTGATAACACTACTGAGAATAAGAAGATTTGGGGGTTTAGAGTCTAGTAGGATTCTTTGGGTCTTGGGAGTCCATGTTAGGTACTTCTTGGAGAAAAATATTGTTTCCTAAGTAGTGAGAGAAATACAAGAAAAGATCTCTGTCTTTCACTGGGCTGAAAGACAGTTAAGCATTAAACATAAATTGGCAAAGATGGGTGGTAAGGAACGTGTGGACGGCATACTGGGAATGCTGGAAAGAAGGGATGAAGAGAGGCACAGCTAGCTGACAAATATCTTATATTTAGTTTCATGTTCAAAAAAGCCTTCTGATATCAGCAACACTGTAGATCAGACTTGATCCTCATCAGCTGTTACTTTAGATGCTTTTTAGCTGAATATTTCCCTGAGAAGCAAATACCAGTCATTTTACCTTAGGAGAAAATCAGCACTTAGAAACCTTGATTAGATTCTACCAAACCTTTAATATTATTAACTCTCCCAAGTTATTTCCCCTTCTCCAATGTAAGATTGCTCTCTGAATGGTGGATTTCTGTTGAGGATGAACAGTTTATGAACTCCATCCTTTATATATCTCACACCTTAACATTTTAAAATAACACAGGCGCCTCTTCCCACATTTTAATGTTGCCTTCCCCAAATTACTCTTTATCACATCACTCTTTGTTATTTTATTTACAGTACTGTAACATTTATACTATTTGAAATGATAATTTATTTTTGTTTGTCTTCTTGGTTTTCTTTACCAGGTGTGGGGAGTGAAGTCCTAGAAAAGAGCATCTGTGTAAGTCTGACGACCAAGAGACTGCCAATTAAAAACATCAAGACCTACACCATCAAGGAGGGCTCCATGAAAGCAGTAATGTGAGTTTGTCTCCCCAAAAGCTGGGCTTGATGGGACACAGTGTATAGAAATGCTGCCTTCCTCAGGAAGTTGGCATGGGGGAAGACCTCAAGTTGAACCAATAGCCCCTTTGGTTTTCCAATTAACCATGTCTTTATGTAGCACCAAATAGCAATTAGTGAAAAAATTTGACAATCAAATAAAGAATATCATCCTCTTTTCTGATTTAGTTTAGCAGTAGAATCTAACTGGGAAACGGATGAATATTGTGCTCAATTCTGAGGGTTAGGTTTAGAGATGGCTGCTGTGGCTCAGGATTTGACCATATAACAACACTGGTGTAGGATGCTTCTCTACCCATCCCTTCCCTTTCCTTATGGTGTGCTAGAGTAAAGTAGAGTGCCATGTTTTATCAGTTACCATGTCTTAAGGAAATGTGTGAAAAACTAGCTACATAGTACTGTTCTCTTTCCAGGGTCTCATTTTCAGAATAGCGGCTCTTCCCAACACATAATTGCAATTTTACCCAAAGAGATTAAATAAAGAAATCACCTCTGTCCAGAAAACAAGATGAATGTGTTTAGATGTGAGAAGGAAGATATATGTAATAATTGAACTAGATGACCTCAAATGTCCAGTGTAGTTACAACATTTGGTAGCTTGGATGGAAAAAGGAGTCTGAGAATTATGATGAACAAAGGAGCTAGGTATTACGTGGATGTATTTCTCTTTTGTGTTAGAATAGATGGCAGGAGAAAGGTTTTCATTTATGGTGTCAAGGTTTTGAGAATAATTTCTGCATATAACCTGTTATATCTGGTCTGATCTTAACTCCTGGTTCCAAGGCTGTGAGGATGTGACTAACTCTATCTTTTCCTTGCATTGCAGATTTATTACCAGACGTGGCTTTAAAGTCTGTGCTGATCCACAAGCTGATTGGGTGAAAAAGGCAGTAGAAATTGTGGACACGTCTACCAGAAGAAACACGAAACAGACCAAGCCTACAGGAGCCCAACATTCCACCAATACAGCTGTGACCCTGACTACATAGTGGTCTTCTGGACCCTCATTTCCTCACTAACCAGCTAGCTCATTTCCCTTTATAAACTCCTGGACTAGTTAGATTATATTCACTTTTTATAAAAGTGCTGCATGAGCCAACTTATTTTCCTGTATTTTTATTTTTCATGTCTTTCATATTCATTTAGATGTTTTAATTAATAAATATTTATTACTGAGAATAATCTCAAAGTCTATTCATTACGTATTGGGAAAGATACTATATCATTTATGCTCTGTCTCTGTCCTAATTGTCTCTCCCATTGATGGTATTCATGATTGGAGAGATTTTGGCCTGTGTTTGTCACAGATGAAAACTATAGTCATCATTCTTTGGTTCCAGCTTGCAAGTGACAATTGTGACAAGTGACAATTGTGACAATGGCAACAATTTAAGAACTATTTCAACCTGTCTTCATAATAGAGTTCTATTTATGAAATAGGGGAGAAAATAAGCCAACTGTCATTGCATTTCCATTCTGAGGGTCCACTACTCAAAAATGGCTTCACTTGTGCTTGATCTCCAGCAAATTCTCTTACCTCTCTGTTTCTTTTGGTTTCCTATGAAAGGACACAAACAAAGGGCTTGTCAGTTCTTTCATTTGTCAAGATAGCAAAGGTTAGACTTTTGGTGAAAAGATATTTTATTCAAATAACAGTCATTGCTCTTTGAAATGGGCAATGACCTTGCTGTCTTCCTGTGCTGTCTGTAATTGTCACTACTTTATCATACTAGGCATGCTTGGCCGTCAGTAAGCTTTTAAATACCTCAAAAACTGTCAACCTGGAACATTTCTTGGATGTGATCACAACTTGCAGTAAAGTTTTAATTAAATGTTCATCTAGGCATTCGCAATATCCCAGACTCATGCTCTGTTCTATTTTCATTAAATTGCCAATTTGATTCATGTTTATGCCTATACTATCCACGTAGCTCATGATGCATACATCCGGTTCTATGAGACTCTAACTAGTAAGAACTAACTGTGCCTTGATCATTTCAAGGGACAAGGGAGTACTTACTACTATCTAGTCCTCAGGGGGCACTCAGCAATATCAAACGCTTTCGGAGATTAACGGAGGGCAGCTGGTTGGAATCTGCTCACTTCTAGTCATCCAGCTGGTGAGCCAGAGTGGGAACCATTAGAAAGTCACTTCCTAGCAAAAGGTGGGCCCATCTATCCTTTCCCGCTTCTATTTGCCCACGATAATTTTCCAAAGCTGGTCTTAAAGAAACAAGGACTAATAAGAAAATACTTGCTTTACGAGGGGTGACACATGGCAAGGTCATAGAAGAGGAACGGAATGGATTCTTGACTGAGGTGTGTATTTGATTTCCCAAATGTGTCCCAGACCCTAGAGGTTTCTATGAGATAATAATATGACAAATGGAAGAATATGGGTATGCACATCTTGTTAACTTACCACATTATCTAAGGTGGTGCTATATGATGTCAAGGGATTTCAGCCAAGTAGTGTACATAACTTTTAACTAATTGACTGGATGTTTTGAATTCATTTGTGTAGGACCTGAGTTTTCTAACTATACTCTGGTGGTTTATTGGATTTTAATTCAATTCAAAGAAATAATGTAAGAAGAAGAGATCTCAGAATATTATTTTCTTTTTTTAGGGGCTGCGGCCACTATTTGTGCTCCTATGACATCTTGTACTTACCTTTAACCAAAAATTTATCAATTTGTACTGAAATTGCTCATTTGTCTCTCTGTGTCCTCCCCTCCCCATCCCCACAATTAGACTGGAAGCTGCTTGTATGTATTATTCAGAGCCTAGGACAGAACTCTAGGGCATCAGTTAATATTTGTTGGATGGATGAGAGGAAGAACACATGTTAGTTTATTTCCTTCATTCTACGTCTACTCTTTTATAGTTCTAAAATTATATTTAACTCAAAATAAACTTTAAAAAAAGATTTTATTTATTTGATGGGGGGAAGGGAGTGAGGGAGGGAGGGAGAGAGGAGAGAGAGAAAACACAAGCAAGGGAAGCGGGAGAGGGAAAAGCAGGCCCCCTGCTGAGCAGGGAGCCTGATGTGGGGCTTGATTCCAGGACCCTGGGGTCATGACCTGAGCTGAAGGCAGATGCTTAGCTGACTGAGCTACCCAGGAGCCCTCAAAATAAACTTTTTTTTAAAAAACAATGTTCAGTTCAGCAAACATTTTGGGGTACTTTCTTTAGGGCAGGCACTGTGTTAAGCTCAGGATATATCAAGATAAGTAAAACACCATTTCTGCCTTCGGGAACTCACAGTCTAGTGGATAAAACTATGATGTAAGCAAACCAACTGCAGTACAGGGCTTGAAACAGGAAATAATATAAGCATGTTCAAGAAACAGAGATAACATGGAGAAGGGAATGATTATCTTGGGAATGTACTCTCAAAGGATTTCTGATTTTATATAAAATTATGAATTATTATTATTCATAAAAAATGCTGGGAAGATGCACCTTTAGTTGGTTTGAAGAAAGATGTTATTACATGTTTTTCTCCACACTAGAAAATTCCTCACTGTGATTATAATATTTGTATAGTATTTTATGCTTTTCTAGGTATCTGATGTAACAATACAGTGAGTCTAAAACTGTCACTATAATTTAATTGGTGAGAAAATGAGCCACACAGAGATTGAGTGTCTTGGCTAAGAGCACAGAGTTACTGAGAAACTGAGCCTAATCTCAGACATTGACTTTCCCTGCTATCCCAGCCTCATGAAGGAGAGTGGGGTGCAGGGGTCCCCCTAGCGTGGAGGTAAAATAGGATTTCTCAGAGCATGGCCACATCATCTCATAAATCTCTAAGGTAAATTAGAAGTATTTGAAGACCATAACAAGTACTTCCCATTTGATTTTTTCCTATGCAATTATTTTTAAAATGTTTTTAATTTATCAAAATAACACATGAATGTAGTCAAAAGTTTAAATAGTACAAAAGGACCACTAAGGAAACCCACAGTCTCCTGCCCTGTTCTTTCTCTTTTTTAGTCTTCTTCTTCATAGACAACTGCTTTTCACTCTTTTAGCTGATGATCTTCCTCATAGTCACCTTCAAATCACCAAGAGTTGCATGCCACTATTTCCTGGGTTGTCAATTTTGGATGTGATCTGTGGCTGCCTCTATGAAACGTTAGGACCTAGCTCACTTAGTCCCAACCTTCTGCCATTGTCTCCATAGGCTTATGTCGATATTTTCAGTTAGTTATGTTGATAGCTTTAAGTAATATACCTATTCTTTATTTCTTGTCCTGTCAACTGTGGACAGCATTTCTTGACTTTGCATTTGCAATACTGTTCTGTTTTCTAGAGCAAATACTTAAATAGTTTTTACTCTGTCATCAGCACTAGTTTATTGCTTTACAAATGTTAAGACATTTAATCACATAACTGACCTCAATTAAAGACAAAACAACTAGCACATGAAAACTGTGAGGGATATAGCTCAGATGTAAACCCCTGGAGGTGTGGTCCAAGTTCATGCTGTTGATGGCTATGTCACGCTAAATTCCTCTCTTCAGAAGCCAGTCCCCTGAAGACTAAACCACACATAAAGAACCCAGGAAGAGAGTAGCAGGTTTACACAATATCTTTGTCTAACCAAGTAATTAATTAGTTCATTCAGTAAGCATTTATTGAGGGTCTACTCTGTGCCAGAAACTGAGGTGCGGCAGTGAGCAGAACAAAGTCCTTGCTCTCACCAAACTTACCTTGTGCCCTATCTCTTTCTCCAGGATTCTTTCATCAACTCAATCAACAGATGTTTACGGTGCCTAATGCACGCAGTCTGGATGCTTTGCTGGGCTCTGGGATGCAGTGCAGAAACTGGACACAGTCTTTACGGGCGGGAAGCTTACCCAGCTAAGCAGACAAGTTCACCACAGTGTCACCCGGGCGCTGAGAGGGAGACCAGAGAGCTCGCTGTGGACGCGCAGGCGCAAACCTGCCCAGGCTTCGGCCTGCGGAGCGGGGGCAGGACCGGCTTGAAAGTAGCCTTCAACCTAAAACCGAAGGACGAGCCAGTTATCCAGAGGGTTTCAGTGCATTCCAGGCAAAAAGAACAGCAGCCGTGAAAATGCCTGCAGGCCAGAGAGATGGGTTAAGGAAATGCACATGGTTTCCTACGAATGACCAACTGAGGGACAAAGTGAAGGTTAGAGAATAATGGGGGTGAGGACAAAAGTGAGGTAGAGAGATGGAGACTTTCCCCAGGGCTTCGTCAGCTAGAGCAGGAGTGTGCACTTCATGTTACAGGCTGTGGGAAATGACGTTGCTTGCCAGGTGCAAAGTGAAGTGCAGAGAACGAGATGGGGGCTGGGAAGCCAACTGGGAGGGGACTCTGGACCTGGTGACTTTTGAACTTGGCCTGGCATGGTGTGACACATTTTCCCTTTTCCTCTTGGGCCTTTTCTGCTTAGCCAGTGTGCGCATCAGCGACGCTTGATTGCCCGACTCTGGTGGGTGGCTCAGTGGCATGCCAAATGTCTCAGGCCAGTTGCTTCATTCCAGATTCCTTGGCTGTGCGGAGCCAGGGCTGGGATGGGAAAAAACCGCATTTGCAGAATCACCTTATTATTTTCATTATTTATTGGCTAAGGCTGGATCGGTGGGACCAAGATTGGTCAGCCACCAAGAGGAACGAGGAGGCAGGGTTGAGAAGCAATAAACTTGATATTACTGGGGTTTTAGACCAAGGCTTTTCTGATTTATTCGGTTTCCTGTGTATTTGTTGAGCACTGGGCAGAGTACAAGGGACACAGGATCTAGTCCGCTGTTACGGAGCCCATGATCTGGTGGGGAGAAAGTGCAGTCCCCAAAACCATTCCAACTTGGATATTTCTGACAGGGCAGCTCAGGGCTCCTTTCCTCTCAGAGAGCTTTGTGATGTCCCCAGCCTGGGTGATGGCCCTCTCATGTGCCCACTCAGCCCCTGGGCTTAACTCTATTGTGGCTCATTTCACTCTGAAATAGCAATTACTTTTCTTTGTTTCTTGTCTTACTTCGTACATAGTCAGGGTAGGGACTGTGAATTGGATCCCTGTGTATCTAGTGCCTGGCATAATGCCCAGGACATCACAGGCTTCCAATAAGTTTTTGTGGAATATATATGACATTATG